AACAAACTTTATCAATACAGATACAAGATTACACGCGATTCGGTAGGGCGATGGGGTTAAACCGAACGCTTGCAGCGACAAACGCTGCGGACAGGGTGCCGATAACTGGAATGCAGTGAGACACTGCTGAACTGGGCTGCTGGACGCGAATCGCGGGGCACACTGAATGCCAGCGATCCGGAATACTGAAGACATGAGAAAGTGACGCTGAGCACTGGGAGAATACACGACGACGACACGGAAGACGCACCCGACGAAAACGTTGAACATACACTGAATCTTACAACAATTTTTCAAACTTAAATACTCATCACAAAGGGCGTGACAAATCACGAGTCAAACTGCTGCACGTTTCTGGACTGCTCCTTGCTTCTCTTGCGCGCCATCCTCTGCCCGCTCAAGACTTGCGGGTTAATTAGAATGATGACCTAATAAATATTATGACTGTTTTTTTTTGAACTGCACAAGCTAAAATATGATATAAACTATTTGGAACAGTGTGGAATTATTGAAATAGAATTTAGTAGAAAATGGGAAAATAGAGTAGAAAATAGGATTTTGAAGGGGGAAAGAAAAATTAAAAAAAAAAAACGATGGGCAAAAATGGCCATAAATGTAGGTAGGGAGAGGTGACAAAAGGGAAGAAGGGGGGCGGGGAGGGTGAGAGGGTTGGGGAGAGAAAGAAGCCTCCTAGGACCCATGCACCGACAACTGCAAAGCAACAAACATAGGTAAATGAATAGCATACGGAAACTGCTCAGGTAACATATAGATATAGGGGCTGAAGGAAATAATGATAAGCAAAGCAACTGCTAAAGTGTATGTGTAGTAAAAATAAAAAGCGCAATCCATTAATAATAGCACGTCTGTAACGAACATCAGAAAATAAATTTAAAAAAAAAGGCACATGAAAACGAAAATGCATATTAACAGAACGCGCAGTCTAGCACGTCTGTAACGAACATCAGAAAATAAATTTAAAACAATGCACATGAAAACAAAAAAAGATGCATATTAACAGAACGCACAGTCGATCAATAATTGTATGTTTGTAGTGGATATCGGAAATGAATTTTAAGCGCATCAGAAAAAGAAAAAGTACATCAAAACAAAATTGCATGCTTATACACGCATTAAAATTAAAATAACTAATATGAAAAAAAATGTTGCTGACATAGTCAATGTGAAGTGCAATGTCTGGAACCGATGCGTAGGATACTGCGCCATGAGTCTGGTCGCAAGTAAAATGCCACTAAACGTGATGTTAGCAGGATTTTTTTTTTCTTTCTTTTAGTAGCTTCCTACCAACTGACGACGGTTCCTGCTGAACTGAATCCAGTTGCCAATTTGCGTTTGCCGAACAGGAGTCACGTATGCCAACAATATTTTTTTTTTGTGCCCGGAAATCTGTTATAGCACCAAGCGATCCTTAACGAGCGCACCTTTGGCACGGCCTATCCTACTAAAATTATAAACGTTGTTGGCTTCCTAGATGAACTGTTGCCGTTATTATCCAAAGAGTTCCAGGAGTGTGGCAACAAATAGGGCCCAACCTGAAGTGATGTTAGCAAGCCTGGAAATAAGCATTAAGGTGATACTGGTTCAGATACACAGAAGAAATGGCTCTGCTGACATATTTCGTTTACTGAAAATGTTTTTATGCGTTTTTGCTGTGCAGCACACACACAGACAGCCTCTCGACAATATGCGTTTTTGCTGCGCTGCTACAGCCAGCAAAAACGCATATTGTTGAGAGGCTGTCTGTGTGTGTGTTCGGAAAGCGA